GTGTCTCTTACTTTTTTAAATTCCTCCTCCCCTCCTCCCTCCAACTGTGTTAACCCTTCTTCTTGTTGTTGTTAGCTGCTGTCAGCGTACTCATTTCCCCCTATAACCAGGATATCATGTTCTTACCTGGTCTCTCTTGCTCCAGAGGCAAATGATCTGTTAAGCCAATTTGAACTAATTTTTTTGAAGCCTATCTTTCATTTCCCAGTCTATATTTCCTCTTCCCTCATGCCTGCATTTCCTTTCCCACCCTGCATTTCCTTTCCTGAGGTATTTACATTTTCAAAGATGAGACCTGAAAAGATCAATTATTTACCTAAAATCTCTATTGATCATCATTATAGTCCTATAGCGAGGAGTCCTTTGTGACAAGCAGGCTTTCCCAGCTTTCTCTTATTAGATTACATTGGTGCCTACTCAGTTGACATACATTGTAGACTAGCTTTAACTTTAACGATCTGTAATTCTTTGTTGGGGTTGACCACATTCTCAAACTTATGTGTTCAGTATCTATGTCATATTCCTGTAGTGCTAAGGATACGAGGTTAAAGACAAGAGGCAGAAGTAACACTAAGAAGGTACTTCCCAGGCAGAAGTACCTTTTTTACATAATGTCTCCATTGATTAGAGATTCCTTTATACTAGTAAATTCCTCCTAAACATGCAGAATCATCCCATTTTATGGCAGGGGTTGGGCAGTGACGGAGGTGGGGAAAGAAGGGAATTAATGTTTGGAGAGCCACATTTTTAATCATTCACACTTTAATATGAAGTACAAGAATCTTTTGATTTGAATTTTTGCTTCCTAGCAGCTAGCTGTGATAAAGGCTCCCTGAGGGAGGGAGTAGACAGTTTGATGGTGATGAGGAGTAATTTTAGAACATGGCCTGGGGCAAGCTTGTGTAGCAGGCCCATTCTGCAGGCTTTGGCTTTGGGAGAAGGAGGGCAGAAGACCTTATAGACAGAATGCAGGTGTGATAAGGGATGTGGTAGCTGGCATCGGCCAAATTCGTATTTGGCATTTTTTTTTTCCAAGGTCCCTAGCGTGGATCGTTGGGAAGAGCAAATGGTTACTGTGCTTTGCTGCCAACCAAAAGGTTGGTGGTTCCAGTCCACCCAGAGGCACCTTGGAAGAAAGGCCTGGCAATCTACTTCTGAAAAATCAACCACTGAAAATCCTATTAAGCACAGTTCTACTCTGACACACATGGGGTCACTATAAGTTGGATTTGATGCCATGGATTAAAAAAAAAAAAAAAAGTGTGGGTTACAAAAACCAAACAAAACCCACTGCTGTCAAGTCAACTCCAACTCATAGCGACCTTATAGGACAGAGTAGAATTGCCCCATAGGTTTCTAAGGTGGTAAATCTTTATGAAAACAGACTACCACATCTTTCTCCCATGGAGTGGCTGGTAAGTTCGAACTGCCGAACTTTTGATTAGCAGCTGAGCAATTTAACCACTGTGCAACCAGGGCTCCTGTGGGTTACAGACATCTTGAAAAATCATCTCAAATATCAAAAGCTACTATTTATGCCTGTAATAGTTTCAGTAAAGAATATAAAACATTGTTTGTGATATTAGGACACTTTCTTGCCAAGCTTCTTGCTCCTTAAAAAATGATTGTTGATTAGTTAATTAAAGTTTACATCTCTCTCTTTTTAGGTGGTTCTTTGGAGCAATCAAAAGAGCAGATGCTGAAAAACAGCTATTATATTCAGAAAACCAGACGGGTGCCTTTCTTATCAGAGAAAGTGAAAGCCAGAAAGGAGATTTCTCCCTTTCAGGTACGGGCATTGTTTTGTGTGACTTAAGTATGTGTTCCGAAGTCAGCAGTCATGAACCTGCTGTGTGAACATGGAAATGTTAATTTAAAATTTGCCTTATTTCTTATCTGTGTAATGAGGCTGAAATTAAATCTACTGAACTACTCAAGAGTAATATAAAAATTTACAGAATATTTCTGTCTAGGACTAGAAGTCACTATAAACAGTTTCAAATATATGCACACTAGATATGAAATGAAAAAAATGTGAATCTGTCCACATTCTGGGAACCTTCTAGGGAAATGATAAGCAGAAGGCAAGAATTGCACTCTTGTCAAAATTGATCTTGCCACAATTCATTCATTCATTCTTTGCATTTTATTTGTCTTTGCCTGGTAATAGAAAATGAAGTGAAATGCTGAATGCAAATGCTTTTAACTAACCTCATGACATGTAAAATTTGATTAAATGTAGATTTCCAGCTAAAAGAGTAAAAAAACTCCATTGCCATAGAGTCAATTCTGACTCCTAGTGACCCTATAGGATAGAGTAGAACTGCCCCATAGGGTTTCCAAGGAGTGACTGATGGATTCAAACTGCAGACCTTTTGGTTAGCAGCCGTAGCTCTTAACCACTATGCCACCAAGTCTCCGTAAGAGTCAAGTACATGTTTACCCTGGGAAAACATTCCCTGAGAAAAAGTAGCACAAGGGATCTGAGAGATATCTTCAAGAGTTATATGTGCTTATATACATGTTTTTGCTTTAAAAAAATCTGTATTTTAGATGCAGTTTGCAATGCTGCAGAATGTCTTTTCTTAAAGATTCTATTCCAGTCCATCTCCAATATGAGAGTTTCTTTCTCCTCCCCCTGCTCTGAGCTCCTCTGTATTGTTTATGCCTATAATTTGTGTTAGTATTCCCTTTAAAGCAAGTATTCTATTTCTTCAACTAGATGTAAACTTTTTGGGAAGAGAGATCATGCTTGTGTTTTATCCTTGTTGCCTTACAATAAATGTTTACTAAACATGGTGCTCATGGAAATCACAACAGCTTTTATGGCTCAATATTAGAGCAGGCCCTGAGCCCACATGTATTGGGAACTTTGTCCTGGCTTAAACTCGGACCAAGTTGTGTGTGTGTTTGACACCTGTGATGGATTGAATTATGTCCCCCCAAAAATGTGTATATCAATTTGGCTGGGCCATGATTCCCAGTATTGTGTGGTTGTCCTCCATTTTGTGACTGTAATTTTACGTTAAAGAGGATTGTAACACCCTTACTAAGGTCACATCCCTGATTCAGTGTAAAGGGAGTTTCCCTGTGGTGTGGCCTGCATCATCTTTTATCTTACAAGAGATAAAAGGAAAGGGAAGCAAGCAGAGAGTTGGAGACTTCATACCACCAAGAAGGCAGCACCGGGAGCAGAGCACATCCTTTGGACCTGAGGTTCCTGCAATGAGATGCTCCCAGACCAAGGGAAGAATGATGACAAGGAACTTCCTCCAGAGCTGACAGAGAGAGAAAGGCTTCCCCTGGAGCCAGCACCCTGAATTTGGACTTCTAGCCTACTGGACTGTTAGAGAATAGACTTCTCTTTGTTAAAGCTATCCACTTGTGGTATTTCTGTTATAGCAGCACTAGATGACCAAGACAGTACCCATCGTATTTCCTCATATCTGATGGCTCCAAATATCAGGGCAGATGGATTGAAGCTGGAAAGAATCAAGAGCACTGGTGCTGAGGCAGAGTTTTCAGAGGGGTCTATACTTCAATTCCTGCATATGCTGGCACTGAAGAAATAGGATGTTCCAGAATCATGTGGATTCAACTCTATCCCTACCTAGTTCCATGGACAAGAGGTTAGAAAATCCTGTTCTGCTTAACATTCTTGAAATGTGCCCAAGTATGATGTGCCACTGACATTTCTAAAATTGTTACCAATCCAAAAAACCAAACCCTATTGCCGTTGAGTCGATTCCAACTCATAGCGACCCTATAGGGAAGAGTAGAACTGGCCCATAGGGTTTCCAGGCAGCGGCTGGTGGATTCAAACTGCCGACCTTTTAGTTAGAAGCCAAACGCTTAACCACTTCACCACCAGGGCTCCAGTAGAATTGTTTACACCAGAGTGATACTCAAAATATTGAATTACTGATATGGGGTGGGCACGAGCCACCTGTAACAGATGCCTCACGAGACAGGGAATTCATACCAGTGCACACCTGTGTAACCTAGGTAACAGAAGTGAATACTTTAAACAATAACATTTTTTTCTGATTATAAGATAATATGTTATAAAAATTTATAAAATAGAAAAGGCCAAAGGAGAGCAATCAAGACTGTCATCATCTGAAGATACATTATTAATAATGAAATACCTTTTTTGTCAGGCTTCTACTATGTCTGACCTATAGGTCTATTTATTCACACACATACATTCCCATACACAGAGAACAAAATTGTGATGATCTTGATATATATATATATGCACACATACACATATACCTGTATGTAAATGTCTCCATTTTTCTTTTTTCTGTAGTATCCTGTGAACATTTCTGCATGCCTTTTAATATTTTCTACAACATTATTTATAAAAGCCAAATAACTTCATTGTATGAGTGTACCATCATTTATTTAGCTTATTTCACATTTTGTACATTTTCAATTATTTTGCTATTATAAATACTGATGCATGAATATCCTTGTAGATAAATATTAGAATATTTGAAAAATTCCATGAGAGTATTATATTTAAAGGAAGAAAAACTGAATCTTCTTGAAATTGTTAGGTTTAATGATGGCAAAGGAGAGCTGTAAGAGAATTCCTTGTTTTAAATGCACCCATGTTTGTTTATTTGCCTTATGCTGATGTTTATATATTAAATCAAGTAGTCATTACTTAGCCAGAAGCTTGGTTAAAAGTTTTAAATTAGCATTACCCATGGCTGTTGAGTCAATTCCACCTCCTAGCCACTCTGTAAGACAGAGTAGAATTGCCCCATAGGTTTTCCAAGGCTGTAAATCTTTACAGAAGCAGGCTGCCACATCTTTCTCCCGCAGAGCAGCTGGTGGGTTTGAACTGCCAACCTTTTGGTTAGCAACCCAGTGCTTAACCGCTGTACCAGCACCACTCCTTCAAATGAGCATTAAAAATATAGGAACTATAATATTTCCCTAAGGAAAATAAACTAAAAGTAGAATTACCTGTGTCATGTCTTTGAATAGTGCCCAGGCTACAGTGACTGTTCTGAACACTCTCTAAGTAGAATACTATGGAACAAAACAGCTTTACGGGCTTAGAACAAAATTACAAGGATATTGGCAGTTATGTGCTATGAATGCGCTACCGCTTGCTTATGGATTTAGGGAGCTTATGTAGGCCTTGCTTGGAGATCAGCACATCATTATAGATTCTTTTTCAATGAAGTGAAACAATTTAGAGTCTTTCAAACAAATTGTCTGATTGTTGTGTATTCACTAGGGGACAGAGTAAATGAATACCATTATGTTCTACTGAAAGGAAAATTTTCTTATTAGCCAGAGGGAAGGCTATACAAGAGAAAAATGGAAAGAAAAAGGTCTTCAATAAATCTGTGTTAAAACAAACAAACAAACAACCCAATAGCTGACTGTTGATTACCACTAAGCATCTTCAGATATACCACCCATGGATTGATTTCTTTGTGCGGTTGTCTCCTTAATCAGTCAAAATGGATGGTCTTCAATTTTGCTGACTGCTGTGTTGCTAAAAGGAGCCAACAACCCTTTTCTATCTCTGTCTTTCCCACGTGAGCCCTCTGTAGAAGCACTGCCTTTATTCTTTGGGTGGCAATGGCTTGCGGCTGTCACGGAAGAGCTTCATGAAGGAGCATGATTTATTGATGCTGCGGCAGCACCGAGAAGCAGCAGCCCAAGGTTGGGGTGGGTGCTAACTGGGTTGTTGTGATCCTTGGGTGGCTGTCGGCTTTTGTGAGGTCTGCGTAGATCTGGTAAGAGAGTTAGGGCCATGACACCTCTCATAATAGCAAGACACTAATTAACTGCGAATTACAGCAGTGCTTTTGGATATTACATATTATATGCGGTATCCAGAGAATCTATCTTCACTGGATGCAAGACAGGTATTTTTAGTGGCCCTACTGTTACTTGACATTGGCAGTGAATTGTTTTTCTGATGGAAAATTTAAAATTCCTACTGCATGTCAATTGGTTTGGCTATTGCTTGATGTCAATTACTTTAAAGGAAATTGTTATTGTTATTACCGTTAATATTAATTTGATGTTTGGTGCCCCCTACGCATTTATATTATTGTTTAAAGTACACTTTAAGGAGAATGTGCTTTGTTAGCTAAAATTGAACTGTAGGTGAATTTTCCAGAAGATATTCTGCATCTTACTTTGTAATTTTACTTTAGAAAATTCTGCATATACAAACCTATAGAGTGGTAGAGAGAATTCCAGATTTCTGTTCAGTGACACCCTTTCAAGAACAAATAATAATGGACAGAAAACAGCTGAACGGTGACTAAGTTGAGGAAATGAGGCAAAAAGCTCAGCAACAATCTTCAGGGAGAAGCGTCCGGGAGTTTAGTTTATTTATTTATACATTTGTTTATTTTTTCAACAAACTTCCAGAGTGCCTACTATGTGTCAGTCTCTCTGTTAGGGGAAGAGCAGAAAAGATGAGCAAAGCACAGTCCCTGTCTTGGCCAACTGAATCTAGAGGAGGACTATAACACAGTTATCTTGTGAGACAAGAGGAGGCAGGGGCCAAGTCTCCTGGCAAGAGCCAGGGAAAGTTTCACAGAGGAGGGAGTATTTGCATTGTGTATCATTTTATGTTACAAGGTAACAGTGTGGGAATGATTATTTCTGGCAAAGGTTAAATGCACAGAGTTGTGAATATGTCTGGTGTTTTGTGAAGTGGTGGGAGAGAGGAGGATAGTGCAGGTATGTGTGTTGCAGGTGGGAGGGGGAGTATGGGGGGCTGGGAAGGTGGGGAGGGGGTTAGAGGAA